TTTGTCATATATTATGGTAACTTATTCCGGTTTCGGCACTCTGTTATTCACGTCCTTTACTAATATGGTACTGTCTAGTGTGTTGCAATGAATAGATCTCTGACCCACGTACTATTTGGTGGTATATCTTCCCCAACCGCCTCGGATCACAAAATTGAAAGGACAAATTACCAACACATCGATCGATGAGACTGTGGATTCTCTTGCCAATGCGGAAAGTGTTATAATTGTATGACCCTGAAATTGTTACCTGCTACACTTCATCCTCCTCACGACTGACTGGCTGCCAGGGTTGTCGGCTACGGAATGGCTGTCGCGAAAGCCCAGTATGCAATTTCTGAGATCACACGAATGCTACGAGCCAAGGGCGTGAAAGTCAGATTCGCAATCCACCCGGTGGCTGGCAGAATGCCTGGACAGTGTAATGTCTTGTTAGCGGAAGCCTCCGTACCATACGATAGTAAGTGACACCTTCAACCTCCGAAAAACGTCTGTATACTGACATATTTTACTTTTCCCAGTCGTACTGGAGATGGATGAAATCAATGATGATTTCGATGACACTGACGTAACGCTGGTCATTGGGAAGGGGGGGAAGGGGGGCGCGAATGATATGATGGATAGATAATCAACAATCATCCAGCGCGATCTCCTCTTCTCCTGCCGTATGTTCATCTCGTTCTGATTCCTAGTGAGTGTCCATCGCTCATGGAGATGTGTGTGGGTATCATGTATCATAACTCATACCGTAGACAGGGGGGTAAAAGGAAAAGGTGCTATTGTCAAAAATGAAGAGGCGACAGCTGAACCAAATTTTAAAAAGAAAAGAAAATATTAAAAGGGTAAATAGAGAAATCCCCCTGGTGATATTCCAGAGAAACGCTTTTATGTCCAGCAGCTGAGCCAACTATGTTATAAGCATGGCCTTGGAGTATTTTGTAGTATATATATAAATCTCAGAATATTTCCATTTCCAAAAAAAAAAAAAAAAAAAAGAAAAAAAAAAAAAAAGAAAAAGAAAAAGAAAGGAAGGAAGGAAGGAAAGGGAAACGGATAAGATATCTCCTACCCAGAAGTCGCAATACCCGGGTGCGATAGAAACGACACGCGAAACACCTGAAGAATAGTTTTCGATTTTTCTCCCCCTCCGCTTTTTCACGTCTTTTCCCCTCATATCAGGCCGCTAGCCATAACTTCCCTCTCCACAACCTCGCGCTCTCCACTCTCACTCGTCCGCCGCCTCTCAAGAACCCACCGGTCACCGCCCGCCTCATCAGTCTCCTTGACGTAGCTGATGCTCTCGGTCGTGCTGTTGGCGCGACTGTGCTGGGATATCCTGGTGCTGGCGGCGGTGTTGCTGTCCTCTTTGGAATCAGAGGTGGCTGTGGCCGTGGCGTCGGTGACCTTGGTTTCGTCAGGCTCTGCTTCGAGTGGGAGACGGGAACGGTCGTGATGATGGTGCTTTTGCTCGGAGTATTTGAGTGGAGAGAGGGGTTTATCCTTGTCGGACGGTGTGGTTATATAATTGCACGTGGAGGCGGAGGAAATGGGTGAGAAATCATTGTCCGAATGATGAGGATTCTGCTGTTGATGGTGATTGCGATGTGGGTGGGAATGGGAATAAGAATAGACTTGCTGCTGCGGGTGGGGGAAACTGCTGCTGCTGCCATAGCTGGTACTTTCCATGGCCACCGGTGACCCAGTCAACACCGTATTAGAATTATTACCGTGATTATTGGTGTTGGTGTTGTGATTGCTGCCGCTACTGCCGCTTCGCCCTTGCTCAGCCAACATGTCGTGGAAACTAGTAAAGCTCCCCCGGCTGGATGCCGCCGCTGCCACGGTAGCCGCGACAGGAGAGCCACCATGGCTGGCTGAGCTACTCCGCAAGCTACCATTACTTCCTCCCCACGCCCCGCGCCTGAGCTTCATAAGGGCATTCATCTGATCATCGATATTGCCCAGATCACCAAGATGTGCCAGAGGTGGAGGGTTTGTGAATGATGCACCCGCACCGCCAGCAGAAGCAGCAGCATGCGCCGTCAATGAAATGATCGAGTTTCGCGTACTCCACTCGCTAAGTTCAGTAATGGGCGTGAGGCTGGGCTCTTGGAAATTGACACGGCCGCTATGGCTCCTCGTGATGCCCTCGACGCTGCGCGTGCCAAAATAGCCTCCCAGCACCATCTGTCCGTCGCAGTTGCTGGCTAGAGCTTGTGGGTAAAATCCGAATTCTTGCCCGTAGAAGCCCTCGTCGTCGTTCTCGAGGGCTTCTGCATTGGCGGCTGCAATTATCGCGTCGTCGTCGAGGTAGTCGTCGTTATAGTCGAAGTCATCGAAAACTTCTTCAAAGGCCATCGGGTCGACGTTTTGGCTGACGCGGCTGTCATCAGCGGTAAGGCCTGGATGGGAGTCGGGTGAAAGCGGTGCGTTGCCTGCATCACTAGACCTTTCGCTGACACTGCCGCTTCGTTCAAATCGGCCGTTGAGCGCGGCTTCGTTGGCGGCCTTGGCGAGGGCGCTGTGGTATTTCTCGAGATTCCCTTGTGTCAGGCCACGGATGGTTCTTGGGTGAATTTCCTGCTCTGTCAAATGCCCCGTCACTTCACTTATACCCCCGTTCTTGAGAGATATATTGAGGTGCATCAGACTGCTCTGGACTGCAAGAGGAATCTTTCCATCCTCCTCATCATCGTTGACACTATACTCTTCTATCTGTTGATCATTACCCACTGCGATCCCGTCACTGCCAGGCCCCGTCTGCAACTGGGGATTACATTTTGGCTTCCGTTCGTAGAGATGACTGGTCTCATCGTCGAAAACCGATTCGTCGAACTTTTCGCCATCAATATCCCCCAAGATATCATCAATCATGCCATCGTCAAAATACAAATCGTCTTCATCGCTTTCAGGGTAAACCGAAGACCTTTCCTCCACACCTTGGCTAAAAAGCGGGGAAGGTCGTTGGAGCCATGTTTCGGTAGGTGCTGCCGAAGCGTCTGTAGCACTCTGAGAGAAAGCAGTGTTGTTGGTTAGTGGACCATTGGGCGGAAAGATACCGCCAGTCCCGGAGCTAAGCCCAGCAAATACAGGGTTAGGACTTATCATTAGCGGGGTTGGCATGTCGTTCACTGGCGAGAGAGGCGTGGAATAGTTCAAATCCAGCGGACTCATAGGATTAGATAGTGCAGGAGGCAATACAGGTACGAACAACTGATTGCCCGGGTGCCCAAACACATGTCCCTGGCCCGTGAATCCATCAAACTCATCTCCAGAGTCTGCATCGGCATTCACGCCGGGAATCCTCTCTTCCAACCCATCATCATCCATCATGGCATCGTAGTCAAATTCTTCAGAGTCAGAATCATTCGCCCGATCGAGTTGGGCTTTTGCTCTTTTAGCAGCTTCTTTCTGCTTGTGTTTCTCCTCCATAATACGCTCCTGGGACGCTGAGTCTCCGTTTGCCATATCAAAACTAAATCGGGATGCACTGCTCGTGAGATGTCTGGGTAAACCCGAAGGTTGAAACGAGCCATCGTAGACCGTTGACGCTTTGGACCTTGTACTAGAGGACCTGAGGTCAGAAGACATCGAGGCCCTATGCCCTTGTTGTTTCCTGGAGCTTGCTTGTCGTAAAGGCAGCGGTTTATCGTGTGGATCTACGGCAGAATGCAGCCGGGCAGAGGATGGAGTACGCCCAGTCGACGGAGTTTCCGTATGGCTTCTGTCACTATTAACAAGTGATTCATTGTTCTCATTCTTCAAACTGTCCGCTGGAGAAAGAAGGACAGGCGGAAGATTCTTATTTTGGAGATCCTGCACATTCACTGGTTGACTATCTACAGCCTGCTGTTTCATCATGGGTACATTCGGTCTCGGCCGTGGGGCGGAGAAATCATGAAAACGGTTTCCTCGAATCCTTGGATCATAGTCATCTGGCAACGCAGTAGTCCCAGCCGACTTGCACCTATTCGTCAGCGCGGGGTGAGGGTCTGCCCCGATCGACGACGTGCCAGCAGGCCATGGGGTTAAGGAGATTCAATCGCGTTTTCCC